CCGGCTATCACGATCGACCGTATTTTCTCTCCTCGCCGGATTTCGATTTTATTTCTCAATTACTCGTCGCCTTTCTTTCTCTGTCTCTCTGGAATACGTGTTTACGTATAGGAAGCCTCGCGCAGAGAATTAGTCGACACGATTCACTCCACTCTTGGAGGGGTTGATTCGCTGACTGTTACCGAATCGTAATCGAAGGTGGTGGAATGATTTTACGATTCATTTTTTTTTTCTCGTAAAAATAAAACATTTCGTTAATATATTCCAGTCTGTCAAAATTACATATTAATAAGATTCGCGCTAAAAAAAGAACAGTCGAAGAGAATAAATTAAAATAATTTAAAGAAAAAAAAAAAAGAAAACGTCGCCATTCTAACAATATCGCAACTAACAGATATCTCGAAATATAAATACATGTAATACGTGTATAATATAATATTCGTGATGAATCGTTGACAAAATCCATTAACCAAAGAACGGACTTGCACCGTTCCCAACGATAAACGGTCCACACATCGATGGAGGTTAAAGCGTCGAAGCGAAGGGACGAACGAACCGTTCTCCCAGGATTATCTCGGCGGTGGTTGGTGCCGCGGGGGTGAAAGCGGGCTTTTAAAAGGTTCCGATGGGAAACCCAGCAGGGCGTGAATGGCTCGAGACGCCGGAACATTCCGTGAGAGACGAATTGGCGAAACGAGGAGGAGAGACGTGGCGGGAATAAAGGCAGCGCGACACATTCGTGAAGGAAGGCTCCCTGGGTGTAGACCCCAGAGCGTGCTACGGGGCGCACACGCACGCCGCCACGCATGTGTCGCGGCCTCGAGGTGTAGGCCTCCTCCTCCTCCTCCTCCTCCTCTCACACCCTTCACTCTTTATTCACGAAAGTTCGGTTTACCTCGTTCCCTTCCGGGTCTGCCCTTCTTTTTCTCGTCTATTTTTGCCCCAACAGCTTCTCTCGAAGGGAGAGGCCTCCCGAGCGGGAGACAACAGACTGTTTCACTCGTGTGAAATAGTTTAAATTGATTAAAGAGTGTGTCGATTTAATTGGAAGGATCCACTTATGGCAATATCTCAGGACACTGGTCGTCGTTGGTTGCTTTCCTTTTTCTTTATCGAAAGCGGTCCCGCAAAATAAAAAAATGAAATGGAATCGCGCGGGTGCGATTTCCACGCCGGGACGCTATTTAGGTATATCCATAGGCGATAAATTATCGGGTGAAATTTGTAGCCGGCACGTCGACGGGGCGTCGAAATATCTTACGACTATTTAGCGCGACGTGGAATCCCGTTTTTCGTAAACATGTCCGCGCCACGAGAGATACGGTCGTTTTATATAAAAAACGGTGGCGACGGTTACCCATCCCTCCTCCATTTCCTCCCGAGATTTCTTCGCCGCCGCCGCAGCGAAAACAAAAGGGAAGAGGGAAGAAAGAAAATAATCGTGCGCGTGTGAAAATAATGTTTTCGTTGATCCTCGTTTATCACCGTTTCCCGTGGGCGACACGCGCGCCTCCCGATTTCGACACGCTCGAACTCTACGAATAGAAAGGTTGTTCTACGTGAGCGAAACCTCTTTTTCCCTTCGTTTTTCCTTCCTTCGTTTTCACGATTTATCTTATCCTCCCTCGCTTCGAAACGAAAACTTTGAAATATATATATTTTTACAAGTTTTTTTTTAAATTCGCAACGCGTAGAAGTTTTTCTTCTCCCTTCGGAGAGAAAAATACTAAGTTTTGCGTCCTACTTAGGGAAAAATATCGAAATGTATAGATTACAGGAGAACTCTGGAGTACTCTGCCTCCTTTCTCTCCATTCTTCTCTCGAAATAACTCCACGCCCGTATTAATTACCAGGATTCATTTCATCCTCGTTTACCGCGGAGAAATCCGCCGCGATGTATGCACGCGATCCTTCCCTCGTGAGCGCCTCCACGAGAGAGATCGACGACGTACGCTGCCTTTGGGAAGCGATTAATCGCGGTATCGCGCCACCGTTGCTTGCCTCCCCTCCCTCTTTGGGACAGAACTTTGTTCGCAGAGTTGGGATGAAGGGAAGTACTCTCGTGGTGGGGTATTTTGGAATTTGGAACGATTAAATTTATGTTTATACAAATTATTGTCTAATAATTTTTCGAGGAAAAAAGAAATGGCGCCTATATTCCATAATCTAATTTAACTTGATTACGATATTGATTCTCTTCGTTAAAAGATATAATTTGCGAATATTATATCTTTTAACACGTGATTATCTAAATAGCCACGACTCCGTGAATTATATCCTATAACTTGTCATCAATGTTATTATCCAAGAACATTCATAAAGGATTCCACGCAAAAATGACAGGTTATGCTCCCCGGCCGATCGTATATGATTATTCAAATGGAAGTCCCAGCGCACTTGAGAGAGAGTAAGCTGGATGGAGAGTGCTAGAGAGATCTAGTAGAGATCCCCACTTGAAAACTTATGGAGGAACTATAGATGAGGTATAGCTGTTCGGGAATTTATTATTATGCAAATCATTCCGCACTCGTGCGTAATTAAATAATCAATTGGCATGTTTATTATATCATCGTCGACAATTCTATCTCGATATTCCATTTATTTGTCTCGTTTTCTTTCTTTTTTTTTTTTTTTTTTTTTTTTGCCAGCGCGTGCAACAGGTATAATCAACGAGATAGACTTTTTTTTTCTTCTTCTTTCCTGTTCTTGTTTAGCGATTCTATATTGTAGGAATTATTAATTTTAATTAAATAGTTACCGTGACGCTAATATCTTGTTCTCCTTACGTGATACAGATCTCGTTTCTTTTTTAGGGGGTATAACTTGTTTTAAATTAAATAAAACACATACCTTCGTATTTTTATTCGATTACGTGTGGATAACGTTTACATTAATTATCAATATTATTACAAATCTCTCGAGTATTCCGACTTGGATCAACTATCGATGGATCGTTGTTCACTTTTCAATGGAAATATCTTTCCTTACTTTTTATTACACTCTCTATTCACTTATTTTCACTACTGTCTACTTAAGAAACACTAAAATATTTGGCTTGGCAGAAAATGATAGCCGATGAAAAGCGAAGAGAGAATTTAAAGAAATTTATGGTGTATTTTTTGGGTATGAAATTACGCGCTTCGCTGAACTTCCAAGAGCGATTCTTACCGAACTTTGCCGATGATTCCCGAATATAGTCGCGAATATAACCGAGTATAATCGCGAGAAAAGGTGGAACGAATAACGAATAAATACTCTAATTCCAACTATCTATTGTAGTTTATTTTTATTTTATTTATCTATCGTTGTTACTGTCCTCACAATAAGGTAATAATCTTTCATGTTACATAAACATAGAATATATTTTTATGCCCGTGTACAACAATTAGGCACGAAAACGGTATACGCGACAAGATATTTGCTATCTTTAGTCTCGACGAGCTCTCCTCAGCTCGTTGCGCTGATATCGCTTGAACAAATGAGGGTATTTTTGTGTTCGGTGAAAAGGGGTCGGGGAAGCATTTCTTGCCGCATTAGCATGCAACGAGTATAATTTTCGTGCGATATTTGATCGTTTATAAAAGTGCAAACACGGCTCGTTGATGTACGAAGCTTGATCCCGACAATTTGACTTATTCGAGCGGCGAGACGATAAATTTCCATTTAATTTATTCGGTCTCGAAACGCTCGAGTGGCATTCACGGTATACACGGCTGTCATTATACGAAATTACGTGACAATTATTGCTATCGGGGAACCCTGATCACGAGGGGACATCGATGTGTCGCGCCACATAATTCCAGTTACGAGAAACGTGTGTATACGTTGAAAATACGTTCGATCGGAGATTTTTTTTCTTTTTTTCCTTCTCTTTTCCTTTCTTTTCTTTTCAAGTGAATTATAACTTATTTTTATTTCGCCTTTTCTCGCCTTCTCCTCGCGTCGACGGTAACTTTTTAAGAAGTTAATTGTCGTGTGTCATCTGTTGTTTAATAACGACAGATACCGCTACTCGGTCCTCGATTATCGTCCATTAAAGTAACACGGAATTGCTATCGAGTTATCGAGCACGCATTTATAATCGGATCCGCGGCGATAAGGACTTGTATCACCTGGTTTTCGAAATTACCGTCATTACCGCCATTAACCCTTTGCTCTAGAATTATTTTTAAACCCGATACACTCCGTACTTTATTTAACTCGATAATTTATTTCCGTGTATATACGCATTTTATTCGTGCTTTCGACATTTTTTTCACGCGCATTGATACACGGTGTTAACTAAATACCTGTTGACGGAAACGAGAACGAGACGAGGTAATATGAATCATCCTTGCTCTTGGTAACATGAGTCACGGACAAAAAAGGTTGGAGGATACGTGAAGGATTTTGTATCATGTTTGCAATATAAAAGAAGGAAAAAAAAAAAAAAGAAAAAAGAAAAAAAAACAGTTTTATTGCCATATAATTTGTTTATATATAACTTTTTGATATATCTGGTATAATCAACACTCGAAGCGTGATTATCTATAATTCATTAGATGTTGGCGAATAATGTTTCGAAATTCATTTTTTTTAATGTTAATTCAATTAAATTTCTTATCTCGCTGATTATCTTCTTTTTCTTCTTCTTCTTCTTCTTCTTATTATTATTATTATTATTACGTGTTTGAATCACTTGAAATTTCATTGACAAGAATCTCCTTATCCATGCTTTCGTCAAAAGCATCGTTAAGTCGAGTCATTATCGAACAATCGATGATGTGTTGTTTTACAATATTTATACACGTCGATCTTTTCTCCTTTGTACGAAAATTGTAAAAAAATTTTCTGAAAAAAAAAAAAAGAAAAAACTTCTATATAACATATACATCATACAAAGTTTAACAAACGTTACACGTTTTCATTGTTTTTCATCGCAAAATTCATTCGTTCCCTAAAAATTTATGATATTCGATAACTTAATTAAAAAAAAAAAAAAAAAATAGAAAATTTTTCAGCTGTTGGTGAGCGGCGGACAACCAACGACGGCGACGTCGCCGGCGATGTCGTCGGGGGGCGCCCTGAGTCCTGGCGCCCTCTCACCGTCGTCGACGGCGACGACGACCGGCGCCGCGGCGGCAGCCGCCTCCGGTGGGGCGAGCACCCCTGTGGCGGGTGCCACGGGACCCGGTTGCTGCGAGAACGGCAGGCCCATGATGACCGACCCAGTCACCGGCCAATCTGTGTGCAGTTGTCAGTACGACAGCGCGGCAAGGCTAGCTTTGGGAGCATATCCAAGGCTAGCACCGACCGCGACCTCCTACTCGTCGTATCCCACGCCGACACCCTCCACCACCGACCAAGGACCCTATCCTAGCATTGGAATGGACAGCTCCGCGTTCTACCCTCCTTTGGTGAGTAGCTCTCCTTAAATATTTATCACTGATTTTTTTTTTTTCTCTTCTTTCTCCTTCCTTCCTTCCTTCCTTGTTTCCTTCTGTTTCCATGCGAGAAGGTCGCCGGGTTAATTGTTGGAAGGCAATTAACGGCGTTTACACAACAAACGATGAATTATTCATGGTATATTATTTAAATAAATTATTATATCGTTTGTGGGAATGTTTTGACGAGTGTTGTGTGGATGGGATTCGAATATGTTGGATGGATGGAAGGTTTCGAAGAAGGTTGGCTTCGAAATTACTTGCCGAGATAGGCGATCGAGATATCGAGAAGCATGGAAAACGGAATAAATTAGTCGAAACAGCACGTTCCACGGTTAATCGGAAGACTTACGACCACACTGTGTTATGTATTTATAAACGCGATCATTAAACGGTTTATTAGCTCGGTTTCGAAAATAGAAAAGCAGATGTATCCGCCCGCATTTGCAATACGCTTTGTAACGTTTCACGGATGAGATATACGCGGCTATTGCGGGCTTAGATTGATCGAGGCGTCGTGCTAGGCGTGCCGGACGATTATTACTCCCGTTGCCCGAACTCGAGACGGATTAGCGCTCGGCCCTGCCACGAATTAGCTTGGAATCCACGGTAATAGAAGCCACGAGAAATCCATACGTGTCTGCTCTCGAAGTCGCGCTTCCCAGCCACGCTCCGTCGCCGGCTGCGTCGAATTATTCACGCACGGCTGTCGAGAGCGGAGCGATAATCTCGTTTAAGTTTCGGTTCGCGGAAGACGCGTCTCGCTACCTCCTAACGAGGGCTCCGTGATGGATTCGCGGTTATATATTTCGTTGGAGCGAGAATCTCGCTCACGTTTCGCTCGGGAATCTTGTGAAACACGCGTTTCTCGTCGCAGACACGCACCGAGCTCTCCTCTCTCCTTTTCATCGCGTGGAAAAAACACCGGCTAAGAATAAGTTTCCGAACGAACACGGTCACGTGACTCCACTATGCGGAGAAAGAGATGGCGCTCGCGTGCCTGTGGACGAAAGTGTCGGGTAATTAAGTCAACGCGGACATTGAAATTACATCGAATCGGTATCGCGTGCGAGAGGAATGGGTAGGCGGAGACGAGAAACGTTCAAGTTCGTTGTAAAACTTGTTCAGGGTGAGAAGGATTGACATGGTGAGACTTTGTACATGTGTTTAGCCTACGGAATGCGCGGAGGGTTCGTAAAGTGTGTACAGGTTATGATGTCGCTTCTCGATTAACCACTCGATAATTAGTATTTTAACCGTTAACATTTTTCGAAGCATTTCTTGCCGTATACGGGTGTTTGGATCCAGTGAAGCGAGTAATTTCGTAATTGGAAGAACAATGCATCGTAAATTTCTTCGAACGCATGGGTGTCGAGTTCATCCAAGCTTCGTCTTTTTTGCAGATATCGGACTCGTAGTTAATGTAGTTTAGCTTCATATACGTTTAAACAGTTTCTCGTTGTTGTTTTAACCGAAAACGTGATAATTTAATGAAAATTTCGATTTCATAATATACGTGCAATTTTCGAATCGACGATTATCGGACGATATTACGTGGACGGATGAAGTGTTTTTGATGAACACGAGGAAAAAAATCAGGCGGGAATTGTAACGGGATCACGCGTGTTGAGAAAAAACTGTTTGCGCGTAATCACGATTATATCGACGATAGGACTGATAATACGCGCGATTGACATAAACGTGTAGAAATAGGCAATCGATTGTATCAGCGTTTCGGCCAATTTATATCTGCACTCGAGCGTGGATACTCACCACAGGGAGGTAGGAACGATAAAAAGATTGCTGTGGAAAACACGCTCGTCACACCAGATGTTGCGAGTCCATTTGAAACGACTTCGACTGGGCGCGAGTTTCAACTGGAAAAGGAACACAGAGAGAGAGAGAGAAAGAGAGAGAACTGATAATTAAATTCTGCATTTATTCTTAACTCTTTTTTAACTCATGGAGACCTCGTTTCGAACGATAAGATGCATTAATCCTACAAGAGAGTGAAAGGTCAAACCGAGGTAAACCCGTATCAAACGGTTAGGATATCGTGTAGAGAAATTTTTTTTATCGTACGAAACACGCGTTTCCCGTGGTATGCATCGAGCATAAAGGTATGGCACGTTTGCTTTTCTTTTACGATACAACGTAATTGTTGCATCAAAATATTTATTTTCGAGAATAATAATGACTGATTTATTAATATTATTTACGTGGTGTATATATATATACACACGTGAAGATTCTTCAAGACGAAGAGTTGTGGCCAATTAATTATATTAATTTTTCCTCCCTCTCCAATCGACTTAACCTTTTATGGAACCGTATTTGGAATGACTCGTCATTCGTATCACTCGAGACGTACAAAAATCTTCGTATGCAGTGGAAAAATTGAAATTAAAATAAATTCGACTATCTCGATCTCGATACGGAAGCGAGATTCCACGATTCGGAAATAACTGTTTCCGTGACAAAAATGCCCGTTTCTTATCTCAACAGCCTCTCCTCGATATAATTAACGGAATACAACCGAGACGTAGATAGGACAAGGTAGATAGAGATGGATAGATAGCAAGGTGTTCAACCAAGTATCGAAGTAATCGATCAGAATCGATATTGAATTTCGTTCGACAATTTTAAAAATTGGTGGAAGTAAAGAATACGTTATATATATAAAATATTTGTACGTTATACATTTGAATTTTTTTCCCTTTCTTCTTCTGCGAAGTGAAGCGATTAATTTCACATCGAAACAATACATCGTAAAATTTTTTTTAAACACTTAAGCCCAGTTTCTCTTCGTCTTTCGTTCTAGCTGTCATTCTCTACAATGGTCGTTATATAAGCTAGAATTTCAAGTGTCTCCAGCGAGAAAAAACTACAGTGTAAAAATGTGTCGATATGGCGTTCGAGTTTATAACGAATTTCCACCCCAAGCGCGAGACCGAATCGCGTTCAGCCAATCAGCGACGCGTGTCCTCCGATAACCGGGCCAGCTTTCATTGGTCGAAATTACACGGCCGTTTTATACCTCGACAAATGGGACGAATCGGATGGAATCGCAGATAACGAACAATTTCTATCCCCCCATACACGTACACCACGATCCGTTGCTGCCGCCGCGACGTTCAAATTTTCGTTTCGTACTTTATATTATACGATCGTGTATCGATTATGAGCGACACCGATCGTCCAGCCGGAGAATTATCGTCGTGACTCCATCTAGCGGCCGATAATAGCGCGCGTGTCGTTACACGGTTTCGTTCTTTCGATGCTCTTATCTGCACAACCGCAAATGGTAACCGCGCGGTCTTTTCATCTTTGCCGCGCAATCAGTCCAAGTCAGAACTGATAACGGAAGATAGTATCGCTTTCGAGCTTATCTCATCTAGTTGAAAAGTAAAAATGATTGTTAGATTTCTTCAAAGAGGGTTGCGTTTTTACCGTGATTTCATATTTGGTTTGGTTGATTGTAAGGTATCACGCGGGTAGTAAGTGAAATCTAAGGTCAATTGTTATTTGTCCGTTATATAAGATAAAAAGCATTTATGGGTGTAGGTAAACTGTTTGTGTATTTTCTCGGACGGTGAGGAATTATAGGTAAAATTTTATACTTTATTATTTAATGAAAATTCATCACATTAATTACGATTAAATTGATTAAAATTGATTTTTCTCAAACATATTATTATTTAAAATAATAATAAGACAATTCCTAGTTTTCTTCGCAATAAAATTTTGTAGAATCGGTAGACGATTATATGCGTTAATACAATTTCTTTCCTCTCTCTCTCTCTCTCTCTCTCTACTTATTACGTTACGTA